TACAAGAAATCTGGCTATGAAGGTTCAATCAAGATGTCGCTGGTTTTAGATGTTTTTTTTTTGTATGCCCTATTCAATAATTTTTAAAGTATTTTACGTATGGGTTTTGCCGAAAACATAAAAATAATGTAGTCACATTAAAATTATTTTAATAATTTATTAAAAATAAATATCTAGGCTCCAGGTATAAATATCAACTTTCCTGAGTGGTGATGGGCAAAAATAATTACCTACATTTTTACTTCAAAAGCTTATGTATATTTTGAAAAACATATATAATTAATCTATCTATATAACTATCTATATAAATGACCCTGCCAAATCCACCAGGCCCAAATGGTTGCCATATCAATTCCCACAGCAGTGGCGTAGTGTGGCGTCGATACAAGGGGCTGTAATAAGTAACTGTGATTCACTTTTTATAGAAACAACAAGTATTTTTTTATTAAATTCTTTAATAAAGTATACCAAAAACTGTGACAGGTTAAAAAAAATAATCAAAATAATAAAAAAGAGTGATGAACTATATTAAAGTAATATACTTAAAAAAAAATTGTGAACGTATCTGTTAGATTTTAAATTTAAGGGGAAGAACACGATTACGATACTCGCATTCGCGTATTAATAGCACGAACGAGATGCGTTTTGGAGACCGCATCTCCCATCAGCGAAAACAGCGGAAAGGTCGCCGACCTCGGCTCGTCCTACCGGGCGTTCAAGATGTAATAAGATACATCGCATCTCGCATCATAGCTCTGTCGAAAGATTCTATTTGTAGCGTAGTAGTGTAATCTATAAAGCTCGACATATTGAATTTAATTATTTGAATAAATTCACTGAGAGTTTCAATTTATTATAAGAGATTTTACTGATTTTATTTCAAATAAAAAAAATATTAGCTGACAACCATTTTGTTTGAAATGCCTGATTTGTAATCATTTAATACGTTATGATATAATCTTTCTAGACAGTAGGGGCAATTTTTTAAAACATCCATATTGACATCAAATGATAGATCGAAGACTATAGATATTGTAAAAAAATCGGAAAAGAAAATATCGATTTTTCTAAACATCGATTTAAAAACATTCATTGAAGAGCAAAAACAAAAGGTCTTCGGACCATCAATTGAAACGTACAGCTTGACAAACATCGAAAAAGAAATCATCGATGTTAATAATTAAAAACATCGATGTTAACTAATAACATCGGATAAAAAAACATCGATGTTAACATCGAAAATGGACACCGAAAAATCGATACATCGTGCGCATCCCTACTAGAGAGTCCCTTTAATTTAGGGCTTCTCAACTTTTTTGAGATTAGACCTCATAACTCATGAAAATCTCCACGCCTCGCCTTGCTATAATTTGGGTTGTACAGCCGCATTCTTATCCACTCACTATGAAGAATTTGAAACAAAGGTGAAAAACTCTAGAACATTTTTATTTTAATCAATGCATATTCATAAAAAATCATGCGTTCCTCTCTAATCTCCTCTACGTGGAAACCTTCTCATTCATTTTTAATAGTAAGATGGTTCGTATGTCACCTAATTTAAAAAGGATTAATTGTGATACATTTTAAATTCAGTTTTGCAATGATTGTTTTAAATAACGAAGCTTAATATCCATATTGTATATCTTTTTTTTTTAGTTAGATTGAAATATTACGAGTGTGGAAAGTGACATTTTTCACACGAGTGGGAAATATTGTCGCACGATGCACAAGCCGAGTGCGACTATCACACGAGTGTGGAAAATCACTTTTCATACAAGTGATGTACAATATTTTTCCTACGACCACAAAATAATTTTCTCAAAAAATGTAAAACCAGGTTATTATAATAATTAAAATGTATTTAAAAAAATAATCAATAATAATAGTATTTATTCAATTTTAATATTTTCTAACAAAAAAATATAAAAACCCAAAAAAAAATTAAAAAAAAAAAACAAAAAAAATGTTTGCCCCTGCAAGGATTTGAACGCTGTCGCTCGCCAGGTCTTAAATGGCAAAGTTGATAAAGTTTGATACTGTTTCCACCTGAGCTAATACGCCTTGCGTCAATTGAATGATCTAATAGTTTATGTGTTTAACCAGAATAACAAGCAAACATAATTTAGTTATTTTAAAAATATTTTAATAATAATTGTTAAAGATAAATATCTTGGATTTAATTTACAACAATTTCAATAATTTAACAATCATATCGATTTTAGTAATAATATGGACATTACATAGATAAAAATAGAAATGATGCGTTTGACATTTTGTGACAGCTTATGCGGAAAGTAGCATATTCGTACACGGGTGGAAAGTAAATTCTTATTCATACGCGTGTGATATAGGGCACTTTCCATAGGACTATATAGTGTGGTATGTGTCACTTTCCTAAGTGGTCGTAGGAAAAAAATATATTTGGTAAATTTATTATATCGAAATTTTTTCCACAAACCAGGTACATAAAAATATTTAGCTAATGTGACTTTGTTTATTTCGTACTAACAAACTTATGCGAGGCTCAGTTAGTGATAGTTTGCGGTCATTAAATCATTTTCGAATTGGTGACGGTTCAGCTGTTTGATTTTGATGACAACCAGTGCTTAAAAAGGTTCCAATAGTTAAGTTAATTTAAAAGTATTAAAAAATTACATTAAACAAATACGACAAACAAGATTTAACACGAAGACTAAAGCTATAATGGCGTTAATTAAATTTATATCATAATAAAAAAAAATTAAAAAACAATAATAGATAACAAATAAATAACCAATGTTGGGAATTAAAAAAGGTACCTATAGTGACCTCTATTTGAGTTGGACAATAAAATTTTGACAATCGGATCTAATTAATGCTTATTGAAAAGATTTAAAGATGGCCCTGCGTAAGACTATTTTAAAATATTTATAATTGAAAACACTAAACAAAATTTAATAAAACATGGGGACGATTACAAACAGAAACCCCATCTTTCTGTAATATTTATAGAAAACTAACAAAATTATGATTGTATTGCATTATACGTATGAACTAGGCAATACAGGAGAGTATAGCGTGTAGGCAATCCAAAGAAAAATTACTGGTGAAATTTTAAGGATTACAGTTGGTAGAAATGTATGTGTTTGATTTTTAAAAATGATAAATAGTGCGAAGCAAAGTGAGAAAAGCCCGTGGTGTTAGTGTTAAAGCAACATGTGTGTTCTTTGAGACGAACTTTAACATTACGAAAGTTTCTATCGAGACAGGAACAAGGACATGTTGCACAAGTCAATCTATGTATACCTGATTGGTCCAGGATGCCTATCTTACCTTTATTTCTGACAAACAACTTACTGATGGAGTAAGAAGTTCTGAATGTAAAAAGTCTTGAATCAAGCCCATTACAAGTGTCATTATTTTGACATAAAAATTTTCACTTATTAATTTCGTCCAGGGTACCCTGGAGGATGAAAATTTCCGGAAATTTTTTGGGTTACCATGGAAACCAAACAAAAAATAGACTCTGATTGGCTTAAAAATGGTGGTGTAAAACTTCGGTAGAGGTATTTTTTTTTCCTATAAATGTCTTCTTACTAAACACTCTTCCTGTTCATCTATTTTACCATTTTTAGTATTGTTCTAAATAATTATGCAACTAAAATATTCATGAAAATTTAAACTCAAAAATATTTCTTTCAGTCTTTTTGAAATGTCTGTGTTAAAGCGCCCTAATATATGGCGTACCAACTGTGTTTTAAATTACTTTTTAATTGGTCTTGCTTTAAACGAATATATAAAACACATATTTTACGTTTTCTGGATAAAAATTCCTCTAAATTTACGTCAATTCAAATAAAAAATAGAGGTGGACGATGGCGTGATTTTTCAACACTTTGAATTGTTCCTTTGATTAGTAAAATTGAAATAAATGAGATTATGTTTCCTCAAATTAATTATTCGTCAATATTTTTCTGGAAAACATGTAAAGAATGTAAGTTTACCAAGATTAAAACAATTAAACAGTTCGTGACATATTGTCAAACTCTATTGGATATTCATTATAATGACATTTCTACCTTTAAGGACTTACATGTGGGTAAATGTTTCGTTATTATGTTATAAGAATATTAATAAAAGATTTTAAACTGAGGAAATTAGTGGTCAATATAGAATATACAGAATCTATAATTTTATTATTTTACGGTTACTATTTTTCATGTAAACGCACTTTTAATTTTTATTTACTGATTTTAAGACTGTTTTTATTTATTTTAATTACTACCTTTCAAATTACAAATACCATTTGGTATACGTGTTCATATTTTTTAATACAAATATTTTTTTCAGTTTAACCAAAAACCAAGAGTTTGAATAATCTTAAAAAAATATATATATTTCACTTTTGGGTGAAATAAAATACAAAACAAATTTAATTTTTATTTTAATAATTCTTATTTTTAAAACACAAGGGATAGCTTAAATTGATTCAAATTTAAATTTTTATAAGTAAGCAGTTTGGATCACACATTAGCCCTAGACTAAGCTGAGTATTTTACATCTGTAGGTTCATATAACAGAGCCTGCTGTAATCTATTTCACGGGTTATTACAGATTATATTTTGTATATTTTTTTGGGTAAAATTTGTTATCTACTATAGGTACCTCACAATATGTTAATTAATATAGAGGCATGTAATCGTATTTTATTTTTCGAAGTATCATCGCATAACACCTTTTTACAAATATCCTACGTATGCCACTGACAAACCTAATCAAATTTAAATTACTCACTCAATAAATAAAAATTCCCAATTTAACAAAACTCGCTTGCATCGTTTATGTATTGCATTTCATACGCACGTATACGAAAACCGGTAGTCCACGATAGTTAGATAGATACCCGATAGATCGTAACGCCCCGACTATTCGTAAACCGGTTGCCAGACTTGGCAACGGTGTCGAGGTCGAGCCGAAAACAAAAGACAAGCGAAGAGCGAAGAGCAAGAGTCAGCGCTTACCTTGACTGGAGGAGCAACTGCGATCTCCGACGGAGCCTGGAGGGGTCGAAACGCTTGTCCTGTCACTTTCGTCTTCTTTCCTTTTAAGGGCCTGTAAAAAACAAGATTAAGATAGTAATTTTATTCTGTTAAAGGTATTTGTCGGTTAGTAATTTACTACACATCTACAAAATTCAATTTTTAATGTATTTTTAGCGTTACAAAAATTATTTTAAAAAAAATAGACAAAAAAACACATTTTTTTAAACCAGAATAAAGAGTTGATGTGAGTGTTGGTAACTTTGAACACATTATTTAATTTAGACAAGACCGTATTGAACGCATTTTGATATAAAGGATTACACATTAGGCCCGGTTGTACCATTTAAGTTCAGGCGAGGTTTAACTAAACTTGGTTTTGATTCTGACGTTTAGATATAGTTAGTACGACGTTTGTCACAGTCTAAGCCAGGTTCAGTTGAATCTCCCCTAAAATGGAGTGGTACAACTGGGCCTTAGAGTCACTAGGGGCATATATACTCAGCAATGCATCAGTTCTGAAGAAAAAATCAGAAGCCAATACTTGAAGTAAACAGCAGCATATTGTTTAGTGTATTTATTTGTTAATCGTTTAATTATTCTAATGTAAAGTGTAGTTTCTAATAGTTAACATTACATTCATATCTTCATGTGTCACATGTGCAACGGTCATGTAAACGACAACACGACCAGATTTGAATCGAGTGGGAGGGTATCGGCTCTTGATGTCGGTAAAACAGGTATTGCAAGAGAATAGTCACCTTAAGCAGCCACTTGACTATTATTAGCCAAATTGAGCATACGCGTTATTTTGTAATCTAATGGCTCGCTCTATCAAGATCATTAATCAATCTACATTTTAAAAACAGTTGGTAAAGTCTCCGACACATACAACTACAACATGGAATATTTTCGAATACAAAGAAAGAACAATGACATTCTGTTTAATATTTTTTTTTGTTGCCACATGAAGTATCTAGTGTACGACACCAGCAAACTTGTTTGCAAGGATACAAGCCGCTTCTTCAAGACACATACGGACTTCTGTAAGAAGTTCATTACATTACCTACATAAACATAATAATGTACAACTTACCTAAAATCAACCATTTATCGGAAAAATACGTCTGAGATTAGGAAATTTGAGTAACTAATTTGTTTTAATGTTAGTAATAATTAGATGAAATTTATTTATCTGTGACTAATGAACAGAGTCCGAGATCAATCGCTCACACTTTATATCTAATATTTTTGTTTTCTGCTAAACACTTGCTTTAGTATTATTAATTCGCAAATTTTTCGAAGCCAGGTCTGTCGAGATTTTAATACCTATTGAGCAGGCATACCAACAACCTCTACAACTACACATAATGCCGGCTCCACACATTGGCGCCAGCGTTGGCAATCGTTGGGTTTCATATTCGTTATCGTTTCCACACACTGGGGAAGAATTGGCACAATGTCAGTCCGTTCCCGTCAGAGCCAACGTCAACATGTCTTATATAGAAATTTGTTTATTAAATCAACAACTGAGCAACCCATATTGAAACTAGCTTGTAAACGTTGCCATGTATCAGCAATGGCATTTCGGTTTTTATGCTTCAAGAACTCTAACACTTTCTCATTTTCCCATATCGGCTCAGACGGTATTTTGTAAAAAAACAATTATCTTCACCACTTCACCAGTACGTCATGCGCGATTGTGTGGTCGGCAACACAAATATTGGTCCCAATCCCTTTGATCTGCGTCGCTAAAACCGACAACCAACGGAAACAGTCCAACGTTGGCGCAACATTGGTACCAACATTGGCTCCAATGCTGTTTTGTCAATACACACATTGGACGAACGTTGTTGGCGCCAACGTTGGCTCCAATGTGTGGAGTCGGCAAGAGGAATTATAAGTATGGGATGTAAGTCAACTAAACAACGAAAAAGTAAAAGATAAATATGCAGACATATTAAAATCAATTTTAAGCAATAAACGTGAAGAAAATGAAATAGAAGCAGAATGGAAAGTCATTTGAGAAAGCATAGAACTAGCAGCAGATGAATATATTGGGGTTGCACAGAAAAAAGTAAGAAAAAGATGGTACAAAGAAAAATGTAGTGAAGCAACAACAAAAAACGTACAAGCAAGAATCAATTGGCTGAGAACAAATAAAATAGAAGATAAAATGGCCTATGAAGAATTAAGAAAACACACCAAGAAAACAAACCAAGAAAATTTAAAAGAAAAAGTAAAAAGGGTGGATAGACAATAAAATAAAAATAATTGAACAAGACGTAAGTAAGAAAATTACAAAAGACTTTTACAAGAAAATTAAAGAACATAAAGTCTACGAAGGCAAAACTAAGGGAATAAAAAAGTGATACTAGAAGATGAAGATGACGAATACAAGCAGGTGTGGATAGGTTAGATAGATGAAGAGGAAATTGAAAAAAGAAACATAATTGCTGATCCAACAAGAGAAGAGGTAAAAAAGGTGATTGGGAAAAATGTAAATGGAAACTCACCAGTAAAAGATGAAATTAACATCGAACCATTCACACTTTATTTTTAATATTTTTGTTTTCTATTAAACAATTATTGAGTATTATTAATTCGCAAATATTTTGAAGACAGCTCTTTCGAGATTTTAAAACATAATGAGCAGACGTACCAATAACCTCTACAGCTACACACATGTATGGAAGGATTCGCGATTCAAATTAATTTTCGGGCGCCTGTCTTTTGTCATCTATAAGTAGGATATTGATAATATCATTATAATAGTGTTCTTGAGTTTCATTTAGTGTTCAGTTTAGTTTCCGTTCTTTCGTCATAAATATAATATTTATCATGTGTTTATTACTAATTTGTTACAAATCTTCACCTATCTAGATGTTACACAAACATCTAGATATATTTGTTTCTGAACGCAAGACATGTTTTAATATGTGGTTTAAAGGAAATTTCAGGTACCTATCGTTTATTATTGATAAACTTAATTAAAAATCTTACTATCCTTACTCTTTTATTATGAAGTGAATAGTGTAGTACTTTGTATACATACATGTATAAACGGTAATAAAACTGTCACAATGCAGAATGCTATTTGATTCGAGACATGCCATTTTGAAAAATATTAATAATGTGAATTTGAAGATATCAAGTTATCATAAGAAACAAAATTTTACGACTTACTCTTGGAAAATTAGATAACTATTATAATAATTTTTCAAATTACGATATTTTTCATAAATCACCGCAAACTATTAAAAATAACATTAGACTATAGATCTCTTCTCTATCTACATTTCATTGTTATTTCGTATTGGTAAATTTTGTATTTGTAATCCAATTCCATTGTATTTATGTTTTTAAATCTATTTTTAATCTTTTGATGCAATTTGTCTTTTTATATCTATTTCTTACTATCTTTTGCTCTTGCCATGTACCAATCAGATTATATCTGTAGTGTACCGCAATAAAATTCATAAATAAATAAAATAATTTTGACATTAACATCATATAGATTGCAGTTTTTTGGTGGGTTTTACATACATTTCATTTTTAATATAAACACTTTCACACACTATAAGAAACAAATTTAATGCTCACAAGTAAGAAAATTTCGAATTATAATTGATACATATTAAAATATAAACAGCGAACACATACGTCAATTTTGCCAACTGATGAACTGATTTTAAATCAAAATTGATAAAAGAACGGAAATTAAAAAATCTGATGTGTCCAACACATGACTTTCCTATCTAGTTATTATAGGCATTTTCCGGTTATTTTGTACAACCTATTGCAGCATCTCTATAAATGTTTAGAGGATAAACTAAATATATACATTTTACACATACATCTACCTCGAAACATTTTTCTATAGATATTCATTGAAAACGAAAATACAGAAAAATTTAAATTTAGCACTTTTCCATTACGGACCATTTTAGAAAAATCATGTATAAACAAAAATTATAGAAATCGATATCGCAAACAACTTTTAGTTCAACAATTTTCATAAAAATCAGAATTTTGCACATTTTGTCAAATTTCTCGAATACGGACCATTTCAGGAAATTTTGACATAAAACAAAAATTATAGATAATAATATTAGAAGTAACTTTTATTTGAACAATTTTCTTCTCCAAACATAAATAACAGATATATTCCATAAAATATAAAAACGGCCTCCCATAAAGTACCCCCCCAGATGTTCCAACTTTGTCCAAAATCTAATCATTTCACGTCAGGCCGAAATAAACCTTAAGTTTAAAATTTAATGTTTTTTCCTTTATCCGTTTTTGAGTTTTCTTCAAATTTCGAAATTTACACATTTTCTCAAATATCTCGAATACGGTCCATTTTAGAGAAATTATGTATAGGACAAAAATTATAGAGAATTATATTATAAACAACTTTTATTTGAACAATTTTTATAAAAAATTATGTTTTTTACATTTTGTCAAATTTCTCGAATACGGACCATTTTAGGAAAATTTTGCATAAAACAAAAATTATAGATAATTATATTAGAAGTAACTTTTATTTGAAGAATTTTCTTCTCCAAACGTAAATAACAGATATATTCCATAAAATATAAAAATGACCACCTATAAAGTACCCCCCCAGATGTTCCGACACTGCCCAAAATCTAATCAGCTCATTGGACGCTGAAACAAAGCTTAAGTTTAAAATTTGGTGTTTTTCTGTGTATCGGTTCATGAGTTATGCGTTATACAGACACACACACAGACACACAGACACACAGACACACAGACACACACACACACACACAGACATCATCGCGAAAATAGTCAAAACGGATTCAGGGGACCTCAAAACGTAAAAATCCGTCGAAAACTCGAGGTCGAAAAAAATCATGATTCCTATACTTTCCTTATATCTGTATACAGATAGGAAAGTAAAAAACAAACAATATATTCAAATTATTTTTTAAAAATCCTATAATAAATATAGAATATGATTACATATTGCTAGACACAAATTTCGCTACTTAAAAAAAGGTCTTTCCACTTCTTCAAGGGCTAAAAATCCTGGCAACCCTCAAAAAA